TGAGAAAGAAAGTCAGTATATAATGAAGAAATATATGTTTCCAAAAATATGTAACTTTTCAAAACTAGTTTACCCCTAATAGCATAGACTTAGCATATATAAAGCAGCAGCTGACAGGATTGCAAAGAGAAATGGGCAAATTCAGCATTACAGTGGGGGATTTAAACACTCCTCTCTCAGTAATTGATAGCTCATGGAGACAAATATTCAAAAAGATGTAGAATATTTGGACCAAAAAATTAAAAGCTTGTCCTAATGAGCACACATAGAACCACATACCTAAAATTTAGAAGATATACATTCTTCTCAAGAACATGGAGTATTTATGAATAGGCCACAAAGCAAGTCTATATCAATTTTAAAGTGTCTGTATCAAACAGGTCATGTTTTTTTTACCACACGGCAAGTAAATTAGAAATGAGTAGTGCAAGGGTATCTCAAAAAGCCTCATACATTTCAAAATCAAAAAGATACTTCTAAGTGACCCATGGGTCAAAAAGTAATTGTAATGAAAACTTACAATTAAATAATATTGAAAGCACCACATGAAAAAATGTGTGGGAAATTTATTTGAAAAAAAAAAAAAGACCGAAGCTAATGAGCTCAGCTTTCAACTTGAGAAATTTGAAAAAGAACAACAGAATAACCCCAAAGAACATAGAAAGGAGGAAGTAATAATAAAGCAGAAATTAGTAAAATTGTAAGTAAAATATGGTAAGCTCAACAAAGTCTAAAGATGGCTCTTTAAAAAAACAATATAGTGACAAACCTCAGCAGAATGAATTAAGAAAAAAGGATTAAGAAAAAAAAGCACATCTAAACAATATTAGAAACAAACATGGATATAACTACAGAAATAGCAAGTATTTAGGATTAATAAGAAAATACCACAACTGACTCTATGCCAGTTGTGGAGAATACAGAGATGTGTGGCCCGAACTCCCCTTCAGGGAGGGGCATGTGGCCTCACCTGCTGGGAGCACTTTGAGCAGGTAGCCTGGGTCTACCTCCTTTAGCACCTGCTTCACCAGCTGAGAGCCCAAGAGTGAACCTTCCCCAAAGAGTCCACATCCATTGAGTGATGTAGGTGGGGATGTAAAGATCTGGCCATTTAGCCCACCCCAGGACAACTCCAACTGTCTTATATGCAGTGGTGTGCTCATATGTTTAACACCTGGCTCCTTGTGGGGGAAAAACCCTGGTTCGTAGTGTTTGCCAATTTCTGTGGTGTAAATACACCTCCATGGATGACTTCAAGATACCACAGTGACATCACTGAACCCGGAGTTGGATGGAGATACACAATAGTCCACGGCCATATAGTATTGCCACCACACAGATAGGCTAGTTGTAAATAAACTCAAGGCATATATACACATAGCAGAGTAATGAAAATGATGAGTAGTTAAGTTTGTTTTTAAGATAATATATACAAAATTGTAAGCTTATATAATTTAATCTTCAATGATGGCTGTGTTTAACAACTGGCTGACAAAATTCCTAGACATTGAACAATTGGTGCTCACAAGCCGGTGTGAGCAGGCTCGGTTACATCAGTCTGTATGTGCTCCAGGGCTCCCCTGGTCTGGCCGAGGCTGTGTTGGACTTGAATTACAGTCTAGTTCTTTCCTCTGTCTGATCCTGGCCTCCTTCCCATAGGCACTGACCCCTAGTAACATCCCGCTGTGTGGTAAACCATTTGATATCATCTGAATGTTTGTGTCCCCCCAAAATTCATGTGTCTAAACCTATTCCCCAGTGTGATGGTGTTAGGAGGTGGGGACTTTGGGAGGTGATCAGGTCATGAGGGTGGAGCCCTTATGTATGGGATTAGTGCACTTATGACAGACCCCAGAGCTCCCTTACACTTTCCATCCTGAGGTTACAGTGAAAGGATGGCTGTCTAGGAAGCTGGCTCTTACCAGACACCAAATCTGTCGGTATCTTGACCTTGGACTTCTAGCCTCCAGAACTTTGAGAAATAAATGTCTGTTGTTTATAAGCCACCCAGTCTGTGGTACTTTTGTTACAGCAGCCCGAATGGACTAAGACACCGGTCTCCTGCCAAGTGTCATTCATGACTTGCAAACACTGCCCTACGCTCTCCTCTGTCTTTTTCCATGGGCATCTCAGCAACTTAGAATTGCACAAGACAGATGCCTTTGGCCACCTATGTGCCCCTCAGTCTGGGAAGCCAATGGGAATATCCTCCTGAGACCTGCTGTAGCAGGCACTTTGGATGCCCAGCACCACATTTCCTTGGCTGCTCTTGAACCAGAGCTCCTATGGGTCTCCTGTGAGCTGCGACTTAAGCTGACAGTGCCCCATGCCCTCCCCCCCAAGGATGCAGCCACGAGTCACTCTGTTTTTCTGCCTCAGGGTCTTTTATAAAACTCTGGGTGACTGGAAGTATGTGGGAGTTAAAGCCCCAAAGGCAATTGCAATCCACAGAGAATAGGAGCCAGATGGTAACTGCTCAGCCCCTGTCTTTGAAACGACAACTCTGGGAAGATTTTTGTAAGCTTCTCAGAGATCCTGCTGTACTGAGCACCTGTTGTGAATAGCAGTGACCTTGATAACACATGTTTATGGTGACTTTTTATGCTTCCTTGTCTCAATATTTCAATTTCATCACTGCTGCTTCCTGGGCTCACCTACCAGAAGAATCTCTCTGTATCCAAGTCCTTCTATCGGCTTCTGCTTAGGTGGGTGGAGGGCTATACTAAGATACCTGCTGATCACTTTTATCCCCCTGCAAAACAACATTCTACTCTTATTTTCACAGTTTCTAAATACAAGCATAACCAAATGTTAAAATGAGACTTGTCTTGGAATAACTGCAGTAGATGACTGTGCCAGTTTGAGACCTTTGAGAGGGAGATGCCAAGAAGGGTTAGATGTGCAGAAGATATGTTGAGAAAACACCTGTATAGGGTAGTGTGGGAGGGAGAAAGAGGTTGGCGTGTGGGTGAGGAGAGCCTTCCAACTGCGATACAGAGCTGACACCTGTGAAAGGACAGGGAAGGGAGGGAGACTGGGTAGGCGGAGCTCCAGGCCGCAGGGCTCAGGTGATGGGGAGTTCTGGAACAAACACTGTCCAGTAGAGGGGTCCTGCATTAGGCAGAAACAGTCCAGCTCTAGCACTCCCATCAGACTTAGCCATGGGCTGGGAACGGCTGTGTGTGTGTGGAATGTGTAACGTTGTGTGAGTGCCGTGCTTGATTCAGGTGTGACAGCTGGAGGCTGTCAGTTAGTTATACTCTCGAGCTTTGAGTGGCATGCCTCAGTGGCTGCCACAGAAAGAGGTGTCTCCACAATTTAAATAGAGGCATTGGACCACCATTGTATGATTTGCTGAGTAAGGGTTCTGCCGCCTTCAGCCCAAATTGAAGGAAAGGGGAGGGGAATCAGGGAGAAGGCTGGCAGTGAGAACTGTAGGGTGCTGTGAGGGAGAGGAGGGAGTACCCAGACACTTCATGCAAAGGAAGGCGTGCCGCTTGGCATGTATCACCTGGGCTTGGGGACATGCATGAACCCAGGGATGGCTGCCTGACTCCTACACGAGAAATTCAAGGAGAGAGGCTGGTCAGAGCTGCCTGTGACCAGGGAATGAGGCCGGTATACTGCCATGACAGTGACCTGTATGGACATGGTGGAACATAGTGGGATCTGCCACAATGGTGAACCTTGCAGAGGGTCTGTGTGAGGGGACCACCAGAGGAGAAAGCTGACTTGGAAGTGAGGACCAGGGCCTGGTGCAGGGGATATTTCCCACCCTGCCACCCTGGAGGCACCAGTCTTCACAGGGCTAGCTGGGAGGATGTAGAGCAAGGAAGGAAAATGCTGCTGCTCTTCCCTAGGCGGGCTCTGGGTCAGGATGGGAGCTGGTGGGTGGTGGGAGCTGACTGGGGAAGGCTGAAGTGGGATGGGACTGACGTTTTGATTTGAATTGGACTGGACTTTTTAATACCGGAGAATCAGACTGCTGATTAACACCTGAAAGTGACAGGAAAAGCTATGAGATCTGCCCTAGATTCTGCTAGAGGAGAAGGGAGATCTGATAGAATAATTTAAGAAGACAGTGGTGTGGAAACAAAAAGGTGCTGTTTCATGATTTCACCAAGCTTGTTAATAAATTAACTGGTATAAAATATTGCTTAACATGGTAGTTTGGAAAAATGACCCCATCTTAAAAAAACAACACCAAAAATACCCAAACAGTGCAAAGACCAGCCCCTGCACGTCATTTTTGTAATGGTAGATGTTTACTCCCCTGCCGTGGGAACCAGAGCGAACTAAAGCTCTCTGAACTCGCCTGCCTTCTCAAGCTTTCTAGGAGCGCTGCTTAGGGGAGCTGTGAGCACTTCAGGCAGGACTGGAAGGGTCCTGGGGAGTCACTCATATATTTATTCATCAGAGCGGTGAAGGTTCTCAAGAACCCCTCGAACAGTGTTAGGCACAGTTGGTGCTTATCAAACACAGACATAAACATGGTCCTAGAAAGAAACGCTTGCCTTTTCCGCAAACATTTTCAGAGGCCCACTCTGGGCTCCTTGTGCACCGGGAATTCTCCAGCCCTCCAAGTTCTTCCCATTGCTGAATCCCAATTCATCCTGCTGCTCCGAATTCGAAGATACTACAGGGCCGGGGGGCTGCGCGCAGTGGGATCTGCTGTTACCCTCAGATCCCACTGCGCGCAGCCCCCTGCCCTGTAGCACCCGCCTCCTGTCTTACTCCTTGCTTCCCCTGAAATCGCGGGTTCACTCGGGGACCGCGATGTCGCAGGGCGCCCACGAGCTCGCCGGGAGCTGGAGCAGATGGCGCGCGCACGGCGGTCCTGTGGCCGGGAGAGGGCGCTGCGGCTCCCGGCGGCGGGGCTGCGGGCCGCGCGGGGCCGGGAGGAGGCGCCGGGGGCCCAGCCGTGTGCGTCTCCCGGCGGCCGCGAGGGTGCGCGCCGCTGCCGCCCGCGCCGCCCTCCTGCGGGGCCCGCTCGCTGCCCGGCGGCTGTCACCGCGGCCGGCACCTCAGGAGCTGCGCGGGCTGCACGGTGCGCTCCGGGGCTCGGGCTTCGCCGCCCCCGCCCCGCGGCTTCCCTTTGTCCGTCGGAGGCGGCCGCCGGGACAGCGCTGCAGCGGCCGGAGGGCAGCGCCCCGGCGTCCCGTCGGCGGCCCCGGTGCTCGTCCCCCGCTGCCCCGGCGCTCGGAGCGGGCGGCGGCCTGGGCGGGGCCTGCGCGGGCGTGGGGACAGCGTTGACGAGCTGGCCCCAGGTGCGGGGGCGTCCCTTGCTCTCCACCTGCGCCACCTCTGCCGGCTTCTCTTGGCAAGTTTGTCGCCCCCCTTTGCGGACATCCTCGGCGGGTCAGTGGAGTCCAGACCCGTCGTTAAATAGAAAACTCGAGCTGGAGGAAGAGGAGAAGGAGGAGAAGGGAGCGTATCGGAACCCGGTCCGGGATGAGAGTCCATTAAGGCAGCGGTGGCTTCTTGGACACCTTTCTTGGCTCTTTCCCACCCAGGTGAGCACATCCTTCTGCAATCAGGACTGGGCTCTGGTCCTGCCTTCTGGAACCCGCGGGAAGACAGGTGCCGGCGTTGGGGAGTGATTGCAGCCGGGGCGGGCAGCGCAGCGTTTATTTGGCTTTTCTGTCATCCTGGCACATATCCTGGCCTGCCACATCCCCTGCTGGGGCGGAGGTGTTGCAGCTCATTTGGCACCTTCGCGTGCTGCCAGGTTAAACATCCTCCGTCTTGGAGGGGATGATAGGTTAGTTAAACCGAGCCCCCTCCCCGCCCCCAGCTGTGGATAATTTGTTCTGTGTATTCGTCTGAATTTAGTCTGAATGTGTCCTTTCCTTTGAGCTTTATAATGGTAAAGCAGCGAAGCGGTTTGCTACATCCATTTTCTCACTCGGAGCCTGTGCACAGAAGGAATTTCAGGCATACAGGCGATGTTACTACCATTCTATTTTAAATACAAACATGGCAAGAAGTACTCTTGGCAGGATACCAAAGGCGCCAGTACTCTCTGTTATGTAAGGGCTTTAAAAACATATTTGTTCATTGGTAAAGTTATAAATGTGATTATCAGAGCATCTAAGAAGGGAGTTTGAAGATAAGCGAGAACCATAATTTCTGCTTTAAACCAAAACTTTACTTGATGATAAGCATGATCTTAGCTTGAGACACCCTTTAAGATAATATAGGCCCCTGTCTTTGAACTCATTAGGTACAATTGTATAACATTAAAAAATAAGATAGGTTTCGTTAAAGGCCACTAAGAAACTTGGTGAAAATTCTTTGACTACTTATCGGTAGTCATAAAAAGGACTCCACAGATATCCTTTATGGCTTTTAATCTATAGTATGAGTTTACTTTTATATTTGATGGAAACTTAGTAATTATGAGCTGCCAGTTATTAAAGATCTCCTCCTCCCAAACCTCCTATCTTATTTATGGTTATTTTTTTTTCAGGTAAGAAGACACAAGTAGAGTGCATCAGATATACTGATGTCAGGCACTCCCTTTTGCGCCCCTACCCCCAATATTTTGTTCTAATTGGTTTTGGGTGATGCTGTGGCATTTGTAATGTTAAAAGCTCTGTTGGTGATTGTCATGTGCAGCCAGGGGTGAGACCCATTGGCTAGCACTATGTGTTTTTAAATGTGTCACTTTGTAGCCCCAGGTGTGGCTACACCTGGTTTAAAGTAAGTAAAAAAATAAGTGGTTAAAAATATGGGGAGACAAAAATGGTATTGGAAAGGACACATGTTGAAGAATTTTAGCATATACACTTTTGTATTTTGTCTGAGTATCTTTCTTGATTTTTTTTTAAACTAGCAAAGAGTGGTTTGATATTTATCAGAGACCCGTAATTTCATGTTGAATATGTAGGGGCGCCTTAAGTGGGACATTTCTTTGTGCACAGGTGACAGGGAAGTTGAGTAGCCACGTCAGGATATGCCTTTATGTTTACATGAAAAGATGGCAAGTCTTATTAAAGATTATTTTCTCCATCAAATTAAAAACTTACGTTAGTAGAGACTAGTAAATTAAGTGCCAGAAGCTTTGATTGTTTTCAAGGTTGGAAATAAACCTGGCTGCTGACTCGGTGTTTTCCATCCACCTTATGTAATAATTCCAGATACTCCAGCCTGGGAGCAGATCTTATGGATGGTGTATGAAAGCTTATGTAAGAGCTCCGACTATGCTTTTTGTGCTCCATTAAACTGGCTGTTTTGGCTATTGCTTAATTGGCACAGTACTAGCTTGTTACAGCCCAGCTAGGGGAGGGGTGCAAAAGCCCAGCCCAGCCCAGCCCACGCACTTTTATAATAAATTGCTGCCGTCAAATTAGAGGGAGCAGCGGGTGGAGGTTTGTGAAAGAGAGATAAGAATAGTACCTAGAGGACTGATCTAACATAAGACTGTTATGCTTAGCGGGTTTCTACAGATTTTAGTGCTGCAGTAGAAACCCGCTCTAGTCTTTTATATCTCCCAGCAGAGGCGGGCTGACTGGGAAACTAATGAATCTTAAGCTTCAGGGCCCCCCCTCAGGCTTCTTCCAAGCCCCGGGGAGGGCCACTAGCGATGTGTTCACATGGCCATACCAAGTTTGTATTGGTAATTTTGGATTCTTTTTAAATGAGGACACTCTCCCCACCCAATCCCCACCTCCCATTATCTAAATGTAAGGCCCCATGAGCCCTAAATCTGCCCTGTCTCCAAATTACGTTCAAATGTTAACTTATAAAAATGCCTTTCCTTATTTTAATGTCTATAGTTTTAGGAAAAGACAAAACAAGAAATCTAGCCAATACCATAGTTGACCTGCTGAGAAAATGCAAATTTGCCATAACCTAGGGCTGTGTGGAGCTGCTGAGATCAGGTGGTTACCTGGAGAACCGGCTCCACCTTGCATCTCGCACAAATGGGGACTCTCTTGATCTGAGTGTGAGCTGGAGGCAGAACAGGGAAGGGAGGAAAGTGGGTTACACCTCTTCCACATCTCAGAGGAGGGCTGCCAGGGGAAGGGGGAGAAAACTACCCAAACATGCTTCATTAATACAAAGTTAACAGGAACAGATAGCATCAGCTCCATGGGAGATCTTTTTGTAACCTCCTTAGCATCTGTCTCTAATAGGAATTTTAAACAGTGAGCAAACTCAGGCCTGGAAAATATCTTGCAGGAAACAAATGCGGGTTGGGGAGGACTAGGATGAACAATCGACTTGTTCTTATTAGCAGATTGTATGAGTAAATGGGAACTGTATTATGTCTGCCACAGGAATGTATCAGAGGGAGTTGTTGAAAGGAGAGGAAGATTTTCCCTTTTTCTCTGAAATGATTTCTACTTCATATCTAAATTTGAATGTCTTCAGATCTTATCATCTTGACCCCTTTTCCACCAACCCTTATACTCCATCCACCCATCCATCCATCCATCCATCCATTGTTTATTCCATCCATCCATCCATCCATCCATCCATCTATCCATCTAGCCATTCATTCATTGTTCATTCCATCCATCCATCTGTCCATCCGTCCATCCATCCATCCATTCATTGTTCATTCCACCCATCCATCCATCCATCCATCATCCATCAATCATCCATTCGTCCGTCTATCCATCCATCCATCCATCCATTGTTCCATCCGTCCCTTCCTCTATCACTCACAGAGACTCTGTCCTTGACCAAACTTTAGTCAGGCTCCTCTCTGACTAGACCCCAACCTTGGCCTGTAAGAACTGCAGCTTTCAGCACAGTGTTGTGCACCCCCATTCCCCACTAAAAGACTTGAATAAATTCTAACATGGCTTCTAACATGACCCATTCCCCCCTTGAGTTCCTGTTTGGGAAAGCTTAAGTGTGCCAAAAGAATTTCCCCTTTGTTCCAGCCAACACCTGATGATAAGACCCCAACTCCCCTTTTATTAGGCATTGATTAGAAAAACTTACAATTATAATCCTTCCTCTGCCCCCTTTGAGATGTATCCATACTTTTGTAACCCAGGACTGTCTTTCTGAAGGGCCTGACAACCATTTCTTTGAAATGCAGTCATCAGGAAGGGGACAGCCCTGTGTCCTAGTCTCAGTGGGAGCGTGGGAGCCCAACTTTGACAAATGCCAGTTAGCAGATGCAGCTGGTCTGATCGCAATGGCATTGTCCAGCTGCCCTCTCTGCTTTTTATAATTTCTACTTCCTTGACTCTGCTTGAGCCCACTTGTCCCCCTCCTTACTCCCTCATTCTTCCTTTAAGATGTCCCAGTCACCTCTTCATGGATTGAAGTTGAACTCAGTTTTATACTGAAGTCTCGTTTCCCTGTTGTAGTAAATACTGAATATAGTCTGTCTTTACTGCCTTCACCTAATGCCCAGCTTTGTTTTTAACAACATCCAACAAACACTTTTGAGTGTGTGTGTGTGCCAGGTGCTGTTCTAGGCATTAGGTATTATATTGCAGTCAACAAAAAAGACAAAAACTCTCCCTCTGAGGAGCTTATGGTATAATGGATAAACTGAAGTAAAATATTTAATATATCAGGTAGGGATAGTGCTATGAAGAAAAATAAATCAGATAAGGGGGAGAAGGAGTGTAGGGCAGGAAATTGCTGTGTCAAGGAGGATGGACAGGGAAGACCTTCCTGAGAGGGGATGCTGAGCAGAGCCCCAAAGGAGATGGCAGGGTGAGCCCTGTGGATGTCTTGGGGAGAGACTTTCACTCACTGGGGAGCGGCCAGTGCAGCGCCCTCAGACCAGAGCTTGCCGGCCAGCACTTAGGAGGCGAGCAGGGGGCCTGGGGATGCTGGCCCTCGTGGGGGTTTCTGACTCCAACAGCCAGTGCCTCTCCACAGCAGCCCACCCCTCACAATTCTCTTGCGGTGCTTTCCTGGGTGTGCCCTCAGACCCTGCTCTCCAGCAACCTGAGGCTGTGCCAGTGAATGGTGGTGTTGCTCTTGGGGCCTTTAGCGGTTGGGACCAGGCACAATGGAGGCCCTCTCAGGGTGCCTGGATCCAGTCTAGACCATTACAAAACTGGGAGTAGGGGAACTGATGGTTCCTCTTGGCTTGTAGGAAAGGGGCCACCATGTCAGCCTAGGTTCCCTGCAGGTCCCTAGGAACAGCTAGAACTGTGACCGTAGGAACCACACTACTCTTTTTGGGGAATGTCAGAGTGTTAAGAACTAGAGCAACTTCTGGGGTGAAACTGAGCCACAGAAAACCCCATGGCCTAAAGACATCTGGGGTTGGCTAGGGTTTGAGAGGAGAAATGGCTCATTGGCTCCTGTGTGCCCAGATGGCTGCCTGGCATCGAACAACCAGAAAACGCATGTGTGGACCTGGCGGCAGGCTGTCACGGATCCCTCAGTGGAAAAGGTGAGACGCCAGTGGAGGGCAGCAGCCAGGAATGTCTGCTGGTAGAAAGGCCTAGCCTTCCAGGATGCATGGGGGGCAGGACTGTGGGGCAGGCTGCACAGCTGCTTACTTTTTCGAGCCATTAGCTTATAACCCTCA